TTCCTGTGATGAGAAAGGTGAATTTTAAGCTTTGAATTTTCAGCACCATTACTCCAGTCTTCAGAGTCACATGATCCTTCAGAAATAGTTTTTGCTGATTTTCTGCTCAAGAAACATTTATTTTTATCAATGTTGAAAATAATTGTGCAGCGTAATATTTTTGAGGAAACCTATATATTTTTTTCAGGATTATTTGATGAATATAAAGTTCAATAGAACTGCATTTATTATGATAGAAATATTTTGTAAAATTATAAATGTCTTTACTGTCACTTTTCATTAATTTAATGCTTCCTTTCTGGATTTTTTTTCCCGGACCTAAACCTTTTAAACAGTAGTGTACATTTAAATACTTTCTGAGAGTTATGTTAAAGTCAGCTCCTGTCCTACTAATTTAAGGAGGCCTTTACACAACACCGGTTTCTAAACTCTGAATTTTTTTTTAATGTGTTTTGGTGGTTCATTTGCATGACAACAGCATTTTGTGTGCCTGAAAGTGCAAACTTTTGTAAACTGGTTTCAAAGTGGAAGTGTTCAAAAATTATACTATGATATTGTCTTGGTGTAAACTACAAAAACACTACGGGGGGCCTATACGTATTACGTTTACAGTCTAAAGATATTCGCCAGGGCACATAGTGTTTCGTTATAAAATGATATTGCCATCTACTGGCCTGGCATGCACAATACAATGTTTTTTTTTGTCATTTTCACAGATCCGTGTTATTGACAACATTGCCATCTGTACGCAAAACATTTCAAAAACTCAAAGGAAAAATACCCTGAATCATTTCTTTCTAGCAATATTTATATGCGCTTGTCACAATACTAACATTATAGTAACAATCACATAAGTCTATTCATCTTATAACAATGGATTCTGTTGAATGAAAGTATAGGATGCATAATTATTCATTTTCTTGTTTCTGAAATCTACAACAGCAAGAAACTGATTGCTTAGCTGATTGGTCTGTGAACATGGGATAATGTGCAGCTTCAGGCTGGTGCAACACATCACTGGTCCTGTCCAGTGGTGCTTAAAGCTCAAGATATGGCTGACCTGTGCACCATTTGCATGTACTCTACAGTAGTTCCCTTTAAAGCGGTCCTGTTTATGACTACTCTCGTAAGTCATCTCCATTTTTTCACAAAGAGCTTTCAGGCATGACTTCTTTGAAGCAGTGTTGGTTGTAACTTCCACTTCCTGATAATTGAACCAGCAGTGATCACTAGGGCATCCAAACACTTTTTAGTCTTGGATCTGATGCAATTTTTTTTAATCCAAAACCTTAAGTCTTAAGTAGCACAGGTATATTTGTAGCAATAGCCAAAAATACACTGTATGGGTCAAAATGATCGATTTTTCTTTTATGCCAAAATCATTAGGGTATTAAGTAAAGATCATGTTCCATGAAGATATTTTGTAATTTTCCTATCGCAAATATATAAAAGCTTAATTTTTGATTAGTAATATGCATTGCTAATAACTTCATTTAAACTCAATTTTTTTTGCACCCTCAGATTCCAGATTTTCAAATAGTTGTATCTCAGCCAAATATTGTCCTATCCTAACAAAACCATACATCAATGGAAAGCTTAGTTATTCAGTTTATTTAAATCTCAGTTCATTTATTTAAATCTCAACTGACCCTTATGACTGGTTTTGTAGTCCAGGGTCACATATGTGTTGTAGTGCGGAGTAATAAATACAAAGCAAAGAACTACATTTGTGATTTGTAATGTAGGATTATGTGAATCCTTCCTAATAAATAAATAAAAATAAAAAACATTCAAAAGTATTTAAAAACAGTTTTTTTTTTGTTTTTTTTTACAATTTTTAAAATGTTTTATGCTCATAAAAACTGCATTTAGTTTGATTTAGATTTTTTAAAATGCAATAAAAACAAAAATATTGTGAAATAATTTAATTTAAAATAGCTGTTTTTGTTTTGACTATATTTTAAAATGTAATTTATTATTACATTGGATGGAAAAGCTAAATTCTTACTCCAGTCTTCAGTTTCACCTGATCCTTCAGAAATTATTTCTTGTTATTATTAATGTTCAAATCAGTTGTGCTCCTTAATATTTTTTTTGAAACTGTGATATTTTCTTTCTTTTTTTCAGGATTCTTTGATGAATAGAAAGTTCAAAAAACAGCATTTATTTGAAATTGAAATCTTTTGTAACATTATAAATGCCTTTCGTTAAGAAAAAAGTCTTACTAAAACTGTTGTGTATAATTTAAATATAAATATAATATCCCCATAATTTAATTAACATGTCATAGCCTTAAACCTAATTTATTTTTCTATAAAACCATCCCCTATTTTCATTCCTCACTCCATAAATCTGTCTGATGTCACATTATGAGTGGAAGAAGCAGCATGTATCTGTGTTTGTGTTTTGCTGTGAGTGATTCAGTTTAGTGACTACAGCAAGATGAGATGATTTAATTAACATCAACAAACATCTCACCATAGTCGCTTTCATCTGTGTTTCCATATATTTCCAAATTCTCCTGATGGAATCCGTATCAAATTGGTGCATTTGGCATGAAGACGGTTTCTTTTCAATCATAATTGAATGAAAGTCTGAATGAGGTCTGTGAGAAATCATTTTAGAGCTTGGTGGTTAATAAGCGTGAAATCTCAAGGCTAATTTGAGTGTGGTAATCATCAAACCTTCTGCTACAGTTTATGGAGGTCTTTAACTGCAGGCGGGAGATGAGTATTCTGATGACTGTCATTTCTATTCTTGATTGCTGTGAACACATTATGATAAATGTGTTGTTCGTTGTGATGTTTCTAGGCTGTGTGGTGGACTGTATCAGGCAGATGGATGGCTGGTGGGTTGTTGGTTGTGTTTGCTGGAGCCTGAGTCAGTATCAGTCGTCCACCCCTTCAGACCCAGACTGCAGCCCACTACCTGCTGCTTTTCCTTCCACAGCCAAAAACCTTCCATCCGCCACGGATTTAGCGTATTTGAATTATAAATTCACCCTGTCTCCTCTCTCTGTGTCAGGATTCAATCCCAGCATACTGTAGTTTGCTGCATCCTTCAGCAGCCAAACACTCAGAATGGGAAGTTGCACCACGGAAATTGCAGAAATTCAGCTAATTTTATTGTACTAATTTTGTGCGTATAATTCCTTTAGGGAACTATACTAAAACAACAGAGAGAGCAAATAAATGACGCTATCACTGGTCCTGGTTCGTAGTGAATTATCGCACATGCTTAAAGACTTTTAACCTTATTTTCAGGCTTACTTTTTCTGCTTTGATAAAGGTTTTGGTTATAGATCCTTCACCGTGTCTCCAATTCTTTATGTTTGGCAAAGTGACCACCACCAATGTATTTTATAAAAGGATGAATGATATACTGACAGCCGTATCATGATCAGCTAAAACAGCATATAACGTGTATATTTATATAAGTGTATACTTCTAGCCTATTATTAAATGCTAATAAAATAAAATGTTTGCTCAGAGCAATTCAGTTGATTTTAGTTGATTTAGATTTTATATCAGTGGCACACATGAATTAAATTTTTTCATTCTTATAATTTGTGATAGTTACAGTATATTATCCATTTTACTTTTATTAAAAATATGATTTGCTTAAAATACAGTATAAACAGTAATATTGTGAAATACTTATACAATGTAAAATAAATGTTTTCTATTGCAATATATTTTAAAACTACACTCTTAAAAAGTGTGTGTTAGAAACAACACAACCTGTTGTTTCTTAACACACCTCTGTGTATAGTTCTAAAGACAATACATTTTGTGTTACTTTTAACTCAACCATGTGTTATTCCTACTAATGTTCTACACACTAATGTGTTATAGTTACACAATTTGTGTCACTTATGTACTCAAAATGTTACAAAACATGTTCAGATATGTCCTCAACACAAAAAAAGTGTTAGAAATGAACACATCCTTTTTGAGAGTGTATAATTAATTCCTGTGATTTTGAAAGTGTGATACACTACCATTCCAACATTTGAAGTAAGATTTTAAAAAAGTAATAATAATACTTTTATTCAGCAAGAATGCATTAAATTAATCAAAAGTGAAAGTAAAGACATTTTTAATGTTACAAAAGGTTTCTTTTTCAAATAAATTCTGGTATTTGAACTTTCTATTAATGTGATTATATGTATTATGATTTCCAGAAAAATAATAAGCAGTAAAAACTGTTTTCAACATTGATAATAAGATGAACCATTATTAAAAATTGAGTACCATTTAATTATTGATAATAGTTGAGCAGCGAATCAGTATATTCGAATGATTTCTGAAGGATCACTTGACACTGAAGACTGGAGTAATAATGCTGTAAAACGATTCTGCCATAACAGGAATACATTACATTTTAATATATATTACAATAGAAAACAGTTATTTTAAATTGTTTTAAAAATTTGTTTTTACTGTAAAAATCTAAATAATGCAGACTTGATAATATATGTGACCTTTCTCAAAAACATAAAAAATCTTAATCCAAACTTTTGACCCTAAGTGTATCATTTCTTTACTCAAATGGTTCATAAGTTCATTGTCAAATGGTTGTGGAATAAGAATGATTGTATTCTGTCATATATGATGTTTGGTGTCATCATATTAGCTATGTCTATATAAAGTGTTGGCCTGAGGTTGCGTGTTATTGGGAATCCTTTGTTAGCATCCTGTTTGTGAAACATTTCCTCTAAGTCATGAATTATCCAGCCATAAACATAAGACAGTTCTCTGGCACTGACTCTGTCTGATTGCAGTTCTGTTGTTGGGTTCAATTATAAATGTCCTCATATGAAACCGCATAAATAATGCAGAGACATACACAGTGGTTTGAGATCAAGCACAAGTCTCGTTCATTGGTTGTCTCAGGTTAACCGCCTCGGGGTCCGCTGGTTCTTCAGTCTCCAGACAGATGGTGACGCAAATGTTGACTCATCCTTTTTGTCCCCTTTTCTCTCCTGCTTTTAGATTACAATCTTTAAGACTGAAACAGAGCCTGGATTACTGGAAAACCTTTACCGGCAACATAAAGTGGGAGCGTAAGAGTTAGTTACACTGGTCACTGAAGTAACTGGAGCCAAGATGGCGGGAAGAGAGCGCAGTCCACGCCACAGGCCATGGTCTGTGTACCGAGCCAACACATTTGATTTGTCCTCAGAGATGATGGGGTTGGCACTAACAGGTATTATTATTATTATTATTATTATTATTATTATTATTATTATTATTATTATTATTATTATTATTATTATTATTATTATTATTATTATTATTATTATTATTATTATTATTATTATTATTATTATTATTATTATTATTATTATTATTATTATTATTATTATTATTATTATTATTATTATTATTATTATTAGCTTGATTAAGTGGGGGTTTCCCTATACATTTAACTTTTGCCTGTAGGCCTACAAGAAGTTTATACCATAGTGATCATTATGTCAGTGGCACATAATCATGCACACATGGTGGCGTAATACATTTCTGCTTTTAAAAACTTTGCTTTGTTTTTAAACAAAGATATGAGAGATGATTTTCTGTGGTAACAATTTGAATGCCAAAAATAGACCTTTAAGGGATAATTCACTCAAAAATTAAATAGAATTTAAAAGGAATTGTTAGTTGAAAGGTTTTAATTCTGTAGTATTTATTTACCCTCATATTGTTCCAAACATGTATGACTTTTTTTCTTCTTAGGAACACAAAAGAAGATACTGATAAACTAAACCTTTAAGTTGTATTTTAGTCAAGGTTATTCACTGTTCAGATTTTAATTGAGAATTTATTTTAAATTCTATTTACATTTGTGATTTCAAGTTTAAAGGAATGCCTATTTTAAATTTAAAGAAATGTACATTTGCATTAAAATCATATAACTGCTTAGATATTTAATAATACATTTTATTTTTTCTTAATGAGTTAGATTTAAACATGATATCATACAGACAAAAATATAAATACCATAATTATCAATAGATTCACATTTTTCCAATGTCAATTTTAATTTTTATATTTGTCTGAAAACAGTGTGGGGAATATTTTTCGATAATGTTTAATGGCTGTGATGATCAAAATGGAACTTATTTCTAATCAGTAGTGGAAAAAGATAGGAAATAAGATACACAATTTGTCTAAATCAATAATGTGATTATCATTTATGTTTTCATTTGTGTTATGACTATTAAAATTCCTCTGTGACTTTGTTGATTTTTTACAGTTCAGTAAGTTCCTCTTTCTGTCATTCAAATTCAACATCCTGTGAGACGTGGAGGCAATTCTTAAAGCAGCACTATGTAACTTTTTCTGTGTTCAAAATTTGCAAAATGTATATAATGAGCGAGTACATCATGAATTCATCTTACAAACCACGTTTTTGTCTTATTCCGAATCACTACAGTACACTTATAATAAGTACTTATATTTGGACTATTGTAGCCTGGTCGGGTCGTCACCGCTGCGGAGTAACACATACCTGCGTGAATAGACATAAACTTAGAGAAGTAGCTCTGGTTGGAATGTTCTTCCGCGGGATGTGTGCAGTTCTGTTTATTAACCTCTAGAGCGTCAAAAGTTACATAGTGCTGCTTTAAACGGAGAATTTTGCCCGATGCTGATTTTACCCAGACTATTCCTCTAAGACTACACATCTCAACATTTAATAGAAAGTTAACATTAACAAAATTAACATCTGATAAAAAGACTCAGCCATTCATAGGAATTCTGTGTTGTGTTTCATGTGTGTTTAGGAAATAGTCAGGATCCTGATGAGCCGGTGCTTGAGTTCAGTCTGGGTGAGTATCAGCAGTTCAGTCAATCATAAAGTGATCAAGGTGCAGCGTCACCAAAGTTCTTGTCAGTAACACAAAACCACCAAAGCTAATATCCACTCATCAGGATATGTGTATCAGTGAAGAGTCTTCACCTCATATTCTTCCTCCTTTTTTGGCTACCAGCACTAACAACATGCAGCCTACTGTATCTGTGAAGGAAATAAACTGCTTATGAGCCTCTTAGCTCACATGCAATAAACATTTATACAACCTATCTATGAGCTCTTAAAGGGTTAGTTCACCCAAAAATGAAAATTCTGTCATTAATTACCTTCGTTCATCTTCGGAACACAATTTAAGATATTTTTGATGAAATATGAGGGCTCTCTGACCCTCCCATAGACAGCAAGGTAACTACCACGTTCAAGGTTCAGAAAAGTACCAAGATGATCGACAAAGTAGTCCGTGTGACATCAGTGGTTCAACTGTAAAGTTACGAAGCTACGAGAATACTTTTTTGCGCAACGAAAACAATAATACTGTCGTGAACGCGAGTCCACAAGTGACACAGTAGAGACGAAAATGTGGAATAAAGTCGTTATTTTTGTTTTTGTTGCGCAAAAAAGTATTCTCGTAGCTTCGTAACTTTACAGTTGAACCACTGATGTCACACGGACTACTTTGTCGATCATCTTGGTACTTTTCTGAACCTTGAACGTGGTAGTTACCTTGCTGTCTATGGGAGGGTCAGAGAGCCCTCAGATTTCATCAAAAATATCTTAAATTGTGTTCCGAAGATGAACAAAGGTCTTACGGGTTTGGAACAACACGAGGGTGAGTAATTAATGACAGAATTTTCATTTTTGGGTGAACTAACCCTTTAAATCAAATATTTCCATTGTGGTAGGTGCACTGGGTTTTGTCTGACTTTGGCTGTATATTACTTTTTCCATAATGAAACGACATGTTGATGGCAGTTAGCCACCTAGGATTATTTGACATTTGTTTATATGGCACTGTACATCACAAGAAACATTTCATACAGTATGGTTGCTTACAAAGACTGGATTGTAATGCTATGCTACTATGAGTGTAATTACACTTTTCTCCTTTCATGATTGATATACTGAATTATTGTCCTTCTTTTCCCAGCATGCAGTGAGTTGGTAACTCCGTCACTGGACCGTAAGCCCAGTAGCTTTGTAGCAGTGAGCTGCACCACCCCTCCACAGGCGTTTTGGACCAAACACGCACAGACTGAAATTATAGAGGTGAGGATAAGTACTATGATATTACTAGGGTTTGGAACATGTGGAACTATGTAGCATGTTAAACTGGCCCTAAAACTTGGTAAATATCAGATTTTGCATATCGAGGTGAATTTAATGCAGGCATTTGCCTTTTTTCCTAGGGCACTAGTAATCCAATCTTCTTGAGCAGCATTGCCTTCTTCCAGGACTCTCTGATTACCCAGCACACTCAAATCAAACTGTCTGTCTACGATGTGAAGGACCGCTCACAGGGGACTGTAAGATAGAAACCGCTATTCTTAACATTCTGCACTGTTTTGCTCAGTCTCATAAACTCTCTGTTTTATTAGATGTACCTGCTCGGTTCGGCTATGTTTACAGTGAAAGAGCTGCTTCAAGACAAACACCACAGGCTACACCTCACTCTGCGGTATGTGAGATAAATATAGGTACAAAGCCGATGTGTAATCCCATAGCATAACGTTTGCACAGAATTTATTAGGAATTACAGCAAATGTAGTCTGACACCTATTTGTGGGCATTTCACTGGCTCAGATCAGCAGAGAGCGAGCGGATGGGTAACATTACCATCATCGCATGGCAGATAGAGGAGAGGAGAGAGCAGCGAGCTCCTCTGGCACGTTCAGACACAGTTAATGGCAGGGTGAGTGCTTACGTACGCTGCTCTTCACACTATACATTAGTGGTTGACTGCTTTAAGTTTTGGCCACTGTCCAAAATCAATATTTAAATTACTGATGGCTAATATAATTATAAATATCCATTGACCAAGGCAGTGTCTTATATAGTATTTTAGTATCATCATATAATATTATAGTATTTATTAATATTTTGAATGGGTTTTTTATTTTTTTAGTTTCCATTTATTAAAAATAGTTAAATTTTTTTAGTTTACAGTTGTAGTCCATGATAACAACACTGACTTTCAGTTGTAGTTTTTTTAAGAGAGAACTAGCACTTCTGCTAAAGAGACGAGAGTCTGTTTTATTTTGTACAACTGTGTCTATTTAAATCTCTGTCACAAAGAACATGACAATCTTCTGTGTAATTGCTCCCGTGTTTCTCACAGATGGTATTACCTGTTGATGAAAGTCTGACTGAGTCCATGGGAGTAAAAGCAAAATCAGCATCCCTATGTAAAGACGCTCTTTTAAAGGCAGGTGAGTGTCTAATTTTAATGTCTATATACAAAAAAATCTTAATTATTGCAGCTACATTCCATCTGGACGAAGCAGTTTATTTCTAATGTGCCCTTCATAACTAAACCAATGGGCTGTAGGCTTCAGTTCCTGCTGTGAAGACTCATGAATGCCACAAGCTGTGAAAGAGGTTCTGAAAACTCATGTTCATTAAAACACAAGAGTGGTTATTTGCAGAGTGTTAAATATTCTGTGTGAATACATAATACGTTCTGTGACTAGCATTTTCTGAAGAATAAAATAGTGGTTTGAGGCAACAAATGAAGAGTTTGCAGTGTTCTTTAAGTTTAGGTTTAAGGCTTTAGTTCTGCTTCAATAAAGTGCTGCATCACCCAGCATGCACACTGAAAACAGTTTGGTGGTGAAGCAATTTTCACCCAGAAATTGCGGTAACAGTTACAATAAGGTTTCATTTGTTTAATCATTTATTAATCTTAGTTAGTTCCAAATTAATGCTTCAGTAAATGCAGTAAAATGCAGCTGATGTCATTTCCATGCCTCTCACTACTGCACACACCCATTGATTGATTGATTGATTGATGCAGTGTTTGGAGGCACTATTTCACGGATGTATCGATTTTCCACGACTGATGGAAACCACCTGCGTGTCCTGGAGCAGATGGCAGAGAGCGTGCTCACCCTGCACATACCAAGACAGTTCGTCAAACTACTGCTGGAGGAAGATGCTGCCAGGTTAATGCAATTCACTGTTAGTGCTCATGTTCAGAACGACTCTTTTGAAAGGGGGCACGAAATGGAAAATCTCAATTTCCTCGTATTTTTACAAGCTACAATAAAAACATACATCGAAGGTAACTGAGTCCCCAGTTTAAAATATGTTGTTTTGTTTTGTTTTCTACACTTCTGAAACATCAAGAATAGGTGACCCAAAAATAAAAATTTGCTGAAAATGTCCACACCTTCAGACCATCCAAGATGGAGATGATTTTGTTTCTTCATCTGAACATGTTTGTAGAAATTTTATATTGCATCACTTGCTCACCAATGGATCCTCTGCAGTGAATAGGTGCCGTCGGAATCAGAGTTCAAACAGCTGATCACAATAATCCACAAGAAATCCACACAACTTCAGTCTAATTAACTTGTCTTGTAAAGTGGAAAATGAAATATGTGTGTTTGAAAGAGTCCATAATTCACGCTTTGCTCACCAATGGATCCTCTGCAGTGAATAGGTGCCGTCAGAATCAGAGTTCAAACAGCTGATCACAATAATCCACAAGAAATCCACACAACTTCAGTCTAATTAACTTGTTTTGTAAAGTGGAAAATGAAATATGTTTTAATAAATAATACTGGCAAACAACGCGATCATGCAGCAATCATACACATTAGCTGATTTTCCCCCTCAAAATGTCTACATTTTAATTATGAATTAATTTAGCGTACTTCTCAAAGACAGCATTAACTCGGGTCGCACAAAATCAGTCTGAATGTCAGACTGGCACTCTTATTATTAGCGACAAAGAGAAGGGATGCATACTTCTATAACATTGTAAAGTGGAAAATGAAATATGTGTGTTTGAAAGAGTCCATAATTCACGCTTAACTCACGCATCCTCCAGTGAAAAAGTCCATCCTGTTTTCCTCCAATGTATTTGTTTAGAACTGTTTTGGGCTCTTTGGGTCTGCATATTTCTCTCCTGATTCAGACGAAATATTGTGGATAAAGGATGTTTTAATGATGTATTTGTTTCTCACAAACATGCAGCTTTGCACTCCACAAGACATTCATTGATTGTGGATTACTTGTGGATTATTGTGATGTTTTTATCAGCTGTTTGGACTCTCATTCTGACGGCACCCATTCACTGCAGAGGATCCATTGGTGAGCAAGTGATGCAATGCTACATTTCTCCAAATCTGTTCTGATGAAGAAACTCATCTGCATCGTGAATGGCCTGATGATGTGGAAATTTTCTGCAAATTAAAATTTTTGTGTGAACTGTTCCATTAAGAATTGGTCAAGACTCACTTTTGTGCAGCACATTGAATTTTGACAATGCGGAAATTGCATTGATTTGTACGATTCTAACTAGCAAGACTGAAACACTATGAATTTATATAAGATTTTATTCTATTGTTGCACATTTCTGTCTGCACGCAGGGTGTGTGAGTTAGAAGAGTTGGGTGAGTTGTCCCCCTGCTGGGAGAATCTGAGGAGACAAATCATCACTCAGTACCAGACTATCATCCTCACCTATCAGGAGACTCTCAGTAATTTACATGACTACAAGGGTAAGTGTTGTGGCACCTGCTCAACCAGAAAGAGGAAGTGAGAGCGCTATAATTAAAGGTGATTTCAACATTGTATTTATCCGATTCTTCTCACCTACTATCCATCAGGTCCTTCCTTCAAATCTAGCACTCTGAAAGGAGAGAAAAAACTAGAGTTTATACCTACAAACCTCCACGTTCAGAGGATGAGAGTGCAGGGCGAGTCCGGCTACGGTGAGATATCTGTGGTCAATATTTGCATTTGAACATTGAAATTCTTCAGTATTCTGTCGACATGGGTTGGTCTTCACATAACATACATCTCTGAACAGATCGCACATATGACGTGGTGACCACTGGGGCCCCTGCGGCACATCATCAGGGCTTTAAGGGCAACGGATTGAGGAAACTCATTCAGAAATTTGAGGAAGCCAAAAAGCAGTAAGACTTTTTTATAATAAATTGGTGACGAATATGAATCAAAGTTTTTGTGTTGCTCTGCTAGGTTTCTTGGCTTTTCTAATTCTTTTTTTTATTCTTTTCTTTTCTTTATTATTGTGTTATTCTTGTAGCAAGAGGTATGGAAGTTTTTTTGGCTGCAAAATAAAAAAGATAATTGGGATTTTTGGTAACGCTTTATTTTACGGTGTCTTGTAACAAAAAATTATGCATAATTACATGCAAGTAACCCTAATCCTAAGCCTAACCAAATAGTAAGTACATGTAGTTAATTAATATTACTCAGTACTTAAATGTATAATTGATGTATAATACAAATGCGAGAAATAAAGTCAGAATTGCGGGATATAAAATCAGAATTGCGAGATATAAACTCGCAAATGCGAGAAATAAAGTCAGAATTGCGGGATATAAAATCAGAATTGCGAGATATAAACTCGCAAATATTGCGAGATATAAACTCGTTGCGGGATATAAAATCAGAATTGCGAGATATAAACTCGCAAATGCGAGAAATAAAGTCAGAATTGCGGGATATAAACTCGCAAATGCGAGAAATAAAATCAGAATTGCGGGATATAAACTCGCAAATGCGAGAAATAAAGTCAGAATTGTGAGATATAAAATCAGAATTGTGGGATTTAAACGCGCAATTCTGACTTTTTTTCTCGCAATTGCGAGTTTGTGTCTCGCAATTCTGACTTTTTTTCTCGCAATTGCGAGTTTGTGTCTCGCAATTCTGACTTTTTTTCTCAGAATTGCGAGTTATAAAGTCCAGTTCTAAGGAGAAAAAAAAAGACTGATATATTCTCAGAATTTATATCTCACAATTCTGACTTAACTTGCAATTGCGAGTTATATCACACAATTCTGACTTCATTTCTCACAACTGCGAGTTTACATCTCACAATTCTGAGGAAAAAAAGAGAATTGTGAGTTTGTATCAGGCAATTGTGAGATGTAAACTTTTTTTAAGAATTGTGAGATAAAAAGTCGCAATTACCTTTATTTTTTTATTCATTTGTGGAAAACGGGCTTCCCAAATAAACTCATAATCATATCATAATTGCAAGAAAAAAGTCAGAATTGAGAGATATAAACTCAGAATTGCGAGAAAAAAAGTATATCTTTTTTTTATTCTGTGGCAGAAATAATGTTCCATAGAGCAGAACTTTTTTTATCTCATGACTGCGATTGTAATCAGTTGACTTTGTTGTTTGCTTTCCGATCAGTTCAAGTGAGGGTGAAGGGTGAGTTTCAGGGTTGTTGGCCATTTTTCCAGTCATTTTCATATGTGGTGGTGTTTCATCTTGTTTATGATCGGTCAGGGTCGAGTCCTTTACTTCACTTCCATTAAATGTGAAGGATCTTTCTTGTTTGCACCAACATTTGTGTTTTTAAAGATGATGTATTTGCACAAAACTGCTCTCCCACTCCATCCAATTATGTGCACTTGGCATTTGTGTACGTTTTCTGTGTGTGCTTGTATATCACACCATCTCATTTGCTATGTAGTCAACTTGGTCACAGCTTGTGCAGCTGAACAAGTGATTACAAATGGGGAATTGCAGAATATGTTGTTGTTTTGTTTTTAATGATCTGTCTCGTTTCAGTGCCGGGGAATCTGCTCCACTTTCTATGCGGTGCCAGCCACAGGATGTGTTGAAAGCTAAAGAAATAATTTCCCATATCAACACTCTGAAGACGCAGGTCAGCTACTACACTGAGCGGCTGTCCCGCGCTGCCAAAGAACGCTCAACCAATGCACTGGAGAGGACCCTCGCTATCCTCACAGAGAAGGTGAGAGGATTTGCATGAACCATTTACAGTCTGTTCACTGACCATCTAATGCATTTTTCACACAAAACTGGCAAGAGCTGGCTGAAATCCTTAGTCCATTCTGATTGTCTGGCTTTACACAACTTAACAAGGGCACACAGTACAACTCTTTCAAAGATATCCTGAGTTTGGTACATAAACTAGAAATTGAACTAGGTATTTTTCATTGTTTATGTCTGAAATAACTTGAATTTATTACTATTAGAAATAAAGAAAACACAAATTCTAAACAAATTCTGCACTACTATTCTGTACCACCATTAACAGAGACTAAGACACTATTACTTATGTTATCATTTTTATGTACAATTTAATTTAAAAATAGTTAAAAATTTTAAAATAATGAATTATTTTAATAAAATAATTTAACGGGATTATTATAAATGTAATTATATTTTATTACAGTTTTGTTTTTTAATTTTACATTTTTATATCTCTATTTAATTTTTTATATAATGCAGCATTATAATTCTATACATTATTATAACTTTTATTACATTTTATAGTTTTATTAAAAAATTATTTAATTATTATAACTCTATTATTTAATTTTGTATTAACTTAAATTCTGTATATTATTATAATTCTATTATTGTGGTATCATATACAGTAAAACCAAAATTTATTCAGACACCTTCAACATTTCTCACATTATCACAGTTTATTCGTAATAAAATATGACAAGAACTCCGAGTTAAACTGTGTCAGAACAAATTCATCTTGATAATGTCAGATAACAGAAGAATTTTGGGGTATAATATGTCACAGTTTACTTTATTTTGCTATCCTCACTTACATAAATGAACTACAGTGTCCTGCACCCACTAGTAAAAAAATATCTAAAATTATATCTGGTGTCTGAATAATTTTTAGTGTGACTGTATTTCAGATTAATAATTTATAATGCTTAACAGATCGTAGTTCTTGTGCTTTTGGATATGAATATTTATGAATCACCATTAATCAACAATTCTATTGAATTCCAATATTCCACACTTATTAACATGAAAAATCAAGGGGGGGGGTTTATATTTATTTTTATGTAATGTATGTTATTTGTTTTGGAAAGTCATAGAAATGCTATTTTGGATTTTCTATTTGGATTTCAATATATTTATTGTAGATTCCATTTACCATTTACCATTTAAAGTTGCTTCTGAGAACCCCAGGGATGAGAAAAGGGTTCATTAATGAAAGCTATTTAAGGTGTTTCTCATGCTCAACAGATCTAGCAAGTAAAAGCTGTTGAGGTCCACTTAATGAGTAAGTGCAATCTCTGTGTCTCTCTCAGACACGGCAGCTGGTGACAGTGTGTGACAGTAAGCTGCTAACTACAGCTATCCAGGCACTGAGTGCTGCACGCCCAGAGTTCATCGCCTCCAGAGGCTCTCCGTCCACCCATGACACTGAGCGCGTGGTCCTGAGGAACGACCAGGGCTCTCCACAGGCCAAATGGAGCGGGAAAGGGAACAGAGCATCCATGAACTTAAACTGGCAGGAGGAGGAGTGGGTAAGATTCAGAGACTGACATTATTTTCTCATGAATTTACCTAGAAGTCTGCAGAAGCTGACATATTTCTGTTTCTGTTTCAGGAAAAGATCTGGCTCAATGTGGATAAGAGTCTGGAGTGTGTGATCTGCTGTGTGGACAGGCTGCTGATGAGAGAGCGCTCGCAGAGCGACAGCAGTGAAGACGTCTTCCTGTCTGACCAGCAGGCCGACACCAGCAAGAGAGGTAGCCAGGGCAATGCATTCTGGATCAACCCTGGTGACGTTCGCTCCACCCCCCTGACCTCATCACACCCTCTTTCAGCTCAGTCCTCTTCACCATTATTACCAGCATCCTCATCACCCTTACTGAACCCCGCATGCCCATCCAGTCCTAACACTCGCTCCTGTAGGTTCCACCCTGTGTTACGTTCTGTTTTGATTTTTTTTAGAACTGCTTTCAGTTTTACATCCTCTTCTAGTGGCACAAGTGATAATTCTGCACGCCATTCAAAATCGAATGTGCCACATTTCCGCTTGATATCTCTGACTTTCAACCATCAAGGAGTCCTTTTTGAAAAAGAACTATGTTTTAGCATGATTTTAAAAAGAGTGCTGTTTATTATGGCAATAATATACTTTAAAAAATATACTTAAGTGTGAACTGAATGTAACGTTTTTGGAGACTTCATTGCATGTTAACTGCAACTGAATTAACTATATTAGTTTTATTATATTTAAAATGAGTGTGCTCTATTTCATTAATATTGTATTGTCTTTTAGTACAGGTTTTTTAAATATATATTTAATACATTCTATACAATTAAGCACACTTCTTTTTCACAAGGGTTTTCATTGGCAGAGACTCTGCAGATAAAGAGTTGAATGGAATGCAATGGAATTGTAGTTTCTTTTGTTTTGATATGCATGTATATGCTAACGAACCAAAAATGACATCACACGATTTCATAAAGAGTTGGCTTTAAAAGTAATAAAAGTAAAACAACACTTAATTGTTCTCTCTCTGTCCGGCTTTAGATGGCAGTCCCAGTGTTGAAGGCTCCACACCTGGTAAGCCTGTCGCTGCAAACTATTTGTACCAGCTGCAGCTATATTTGTGGACTGTCCAGATGACGTTAGCTGTCTGTGTTTATGGCTCTAGGTGAATGGAGTGAAGCTCTGTATCCTCTCCTGACCACTCTGAATGAGTGTGTAGCAATGATGAGTGACAAAGCCAAGAAGTCCATGGTGTTTCTACTGATGCAAGACAGCGCTCCCACTATCGCCATGAGTTTGTCACTACAGTACCGCAGAGATGTGGTTTTCTGTCAGACAGTTAGTACAGACTATTTAAAGAGATAAACAACATCATTTTATTGCCAATCAGTCATAACCAGGCCCACATAGAATGTGCTCTGTAGAAATGAGAAACTCATCACCCATTACATTGCATTTGTTAAACATTTCAGCTAATTTGATATTGTGTTCAGCTACCAATAAGGATATAGCTTTTAATGTTTTAAATTGGTTTCATTAAAAATGACAACTAACAAAAAATTCATTCTGTCAAGGCCTGTCTATATGAAAAAAATATTTTCTTATATAATTTAAATATATTTCAAAATATAAAAAAAAATGGTACCTATCTTGTTAATATAGACTATAGCATTTACATACATATATATTAAGTGTTTCATAAATATATTTTTTTCTCATTTGTATTTCCTATTTAGTATTTATTTTTCAATCTAAATATATTTTTATTGTCCAAACAGTATATTTTAAAATATATATTGTATACAGTATATTTGCATTTACCCAAAATGTATTTTAAGATTGGAAATGTATTTTCCTGCTATCTTAAGTATTGTTTAAGTATACTTTCCTTAAGTATTGTAATATATTTTGTAATATATTAAACCTTTAAAAGTAAAGGTTTAAACAAAATATATTTGAAATTTGATATTTTCTTAAGCTGCGCTGTTTACAATATTTATTTAGCATAATTTGAAATATACTGTGGCCATAAAAAAATAGTTTTTTTTGCCATATGGGTGTTTACGCCATAAATCGTTTTTACCGAGGTTGGCAGAAATTGATTTGTGTGTTTTTCGTATTGAAAATGTTTCTGCTTATAAAGTACTTGACAAAACACTTTAATAATGCAATTTCCCTAGCTTCCTGTAAATTAATATTTCATATCCATTCTAATAATATACATATTTCTTTGTAGCTGACGGCCCTGATCTGTGGGTTTGTGATAAAACTGAGGAACTGTCTAAGTGACGGCGGCTTCCTCAGACAACTCCACACTATCGGCTTACTGGTCCAGTTCGAGGGGCTCCTGAGCACCTACGGTAAACATACAAGCACATTTCAATTCAGCTTACACTTATGGATGAAGGTAAACGTATCTGAATGTGTGAACTCTGAGCTCCTCTTTCGTCTTAAAGGGGAGGAACTCGCCATGTTGGAAGACATGAGTGTAGGCGTCATGGACCTCCGGAATGTCACCTTTAAAGTGACCCAGGCGACCTCCAGCTTCAGCCCCGACATGCTGCCTGTCATCACGGGCAACAGAGATGGGTTTAACGTGCGTGTTCCTTTATCGGGGGTGATGTTTGATGTGTTACCACGGGAGATCCAAAATGGGATGCTGCTGCGAGTTCAACCGGTATTATTCAATGTAGGAATCAATGAGCAACAAACGCTTGCAGAAAAGTAAGCGTATGAATTAAATATACTTTCTGTTTCTTTGTATGGACTGGTTTAATCACACTGGCTCTCATTCACTAATAATTGCATGGATTATCAGTATTTATATGCACAGGAAAACTTCTCACAAAAAATAATGCACATGAATTCATTCTAATGTTAGTGAATTTGGAGTATTATAAATGAACAATTGTATACCTAAGGTTAGTTATTTGCATAAAGCACGCTCAGACCATCTCTAGGGCTTTCCACTCAACCTTTCCTTTACAGCCATTTGTCACTCTCAGCAAACACACGACGCTCTCTAAATACACACTGTCACATGTGCAGCAAGATTCACAAGCAATGCCCAGTTTGGCATTTTTTAAAAACAGTTCAAACACAATAAACATCGTTTACACACACTCAGATTACAGAGATCTCATTAGCCAGCTGTAGCTACACATGCAGTTTTGTGCTTTTATGAGAGGAACCTCACAGCTTGAGCTATAACACAGCTTTCCTTACTCTTTCATTGTATAAAATGAAATATATTGTTTAAAGATGAGATATCTATGAAATGTTTTTATCTTAAATGCATCACCCAGAGTATGTGAATTTTGCATTCGGAAGGTTTTAAGTAGTTCCTTTTTTCATAAACTTAGCACACAATCTAGTACACAAGTTATTGATGAATCATGTGAAGTCCTTTGTATGTAGATTTAATGCACAATGTGTGCGTATGCATGTTTAGTGCTATGAGACCCGATGTTTACCTCTTCGGTTATTCATACAGTGTAATTCATTGGACTGTCAATATACATTTCAGTATACAATATACAGTTTATATATACAATATACTTAGTTATTCATGTTCATTTTGTATTACTTTAGGTTTGGAGACACGTCGCTGCAGGAAGTAGTGAATGTAGAGAGTCTAACTCGTCTTGCCTCCTATTATGACCAGTTTAAAGAAGTGCTGCCTGAAGACTGTGAGTCCTAAACACTCTCCTAAACTGCGCATGAAAGAACGTTGGTAGATGATTTATGTCAGTCCTAACCAGTTGAATGACTCCATCTATAGGTCTGCCCCGCTCTCGCAGTCAGAACTGTGTACCTGAGCTACTCAAGTTCCTCAGTCAAAATGTTAATGCCAGGAAGAGCAAGAATGTTGACATCCTGTTGCAGGCAGCAGAGGTACAGTGGTCTAACATTATTATTATTATTATGTTCTCTTGCATCTATACTGAAACATGGGAAATCACAATTCAGTTTGTTTTTGATTCATGGAGCTGCGATCTGAGACTCTCTCACTAATGAACTCTTTGTAATAGTTTGAATGTACCTTACCAGGATGATATCTTTCTCTCTTGTTATGTCAGATTTGTCGGCGTCTAAACGGTGTGCGTGTGACCAGCTGCAAGAGTGCAAAGGATCGTACGGCCATGTCGGTGACCCTGGAGCAATGTCAAATCCTCCAGCAAGAGCACTGCATGGCCCCGCAGGTCTTCACACAGGCTTTGGACTGTATGCGCAGGTGAGAC